TATGTCTAAAAGTTGATACCTACACTTTAAGGCTAGCTTTATGGTTTGGAAAATTGTAGGCAATCTAGAATGTGGCAGAAGAGGTGTTTTTGGAACTGTCAAGCTGAGTTCAAAATATATTATTATCACCACCCCACTCCCCAGGACCAAAAAAAAACACTGGCTGTAAGCCATACTCATGCCATGTGGTACCATTACCACTAATCACCATAGCTGAGTTACAAAACAAGTCATTTTCTCCTCCAGGCCATGGCTGGCTCTCACAAATATTTGATAGGATGTTTGAAGGAGGCTATGCGCTAGGCAATCTTAAAGGTCCCTTTCATCTCTGGCACTTTATGGCTCTAAGATAAATGAGCTTTTTAAAATTGAGCCATTCTCAGAACCTTATGTAAAGCATTGTTTCTATGCAGAAAAGTTCTATACATCTTAAGCAACCAATTTTAAAAAAATCAACTTTGGGAACATAATCTATGAAGACAGGACCTTCCTGTTTCTCATAAAATATTATCTGACATTTTCCTCTATATCCTTATTACTATAGTAAACATATTATCAGGTCAAAAATATTATTTGGAGAAAAAGAGCACATTAAAATTAAAGTAATAAAATAAAATACTGCCTTTTCTTTACTACTAATAGGATTCTTATCGTCATCTTGGCATCTTAAATTTTCTGATAGAACAAGTCAAAGGCATTCCTTTCCCCTGTCGCTCCTGACTTTCCTCCTTCCTATTTATTGCCATTCACTAAGCCCTTCTGAAGTAACTTTCGGGTGCTCAAACCCGGGAGTTATATAAAACAGTGTTCAGGGAGACTGAGTTGGGCACTGTGACAGATAATTAGGGATAAATGCCCCAATTATCCCTACGTCCTAGAATTTATGCCCTTGTGTATAAATGACATGACTTTGGGTGGGACCTGTGACTTGCTTCTAAATAGTAGAATATGGCAAAGGAAATGGGATATCACTTCTATAAACACATTATACAAGTTTGTAACTTCCATTCTGCCAGCAGACTCTCTGTGGATGCGCTCCCTGGCTGGCTTTGAAGAGAGCCGCTAGAGGGAGTGGTCTAGGCCCCATGGGGAGGCCCACCCAGCACGCAGCGAGGGAGTCCTCTAGCTGACAGCCAGGAAATAGCTAAGGCTCTCAGTACAACAATCCCTGAGGGCTGTGCTGCCAATAACCACATGAGCCTGGAAGGGGAACTTTCCCAGCAGAGCCCAGCCTTGACTCACACCTTGACTACAGCCTGGGAGAGACTCTGAAGCAGGAGATCAACTTCAGGCATGTCCAGACTCCTGACCATGGTGAGATAGTAATGTGTCTGCATCCCGTTTTAAGCCACTCCGCTTATGGTAATAGTGTTACCCAGCTACTGATAATTAATACAGGTGGACACATAGAATATAATTAGAGAATAACATAAATGCAACAGAAAAATAAATGTGAAATAGGAAAGTTCAGGTAATAAAGGTAAGATCACGACAGAGAAAGTTAATTTTGAAATATTTCATAAAGAGACTAGTTATGAAACCCACCTTATGTCTTTCAAGAATTCATTGGCAGAGAGGTAGGGAAAACAACACAGAGGCACAATCAACTGAATATCAACGCTACTACACTGAGGAACAGTGAGAGAAGGGTCTGAATCATAGGAGGCCTGGAGTGGCAGGAGCTGAGTGGGCTCGTTTTTGATACTATAAGCAACAACACTACGAGAAGGGCTCCTCAGCAGGGAAATGACAATCAGGTGTCTTAAAGAACTTAATTTTATCACAGTATAAAGGATGGGGAAGACTAGAGGTAAGACCAGGAAGGAATATGCTAGCACAAGTCTTCATGAGAGGCCAACAAACACATGAGGGAAAAAAGGTTCCCACTCATGAATAATCAAAGATACACAAACCAAAGCTATAAAGGAACATTTTTTGGTTGATCAAATTAGTTAAAAATAAAAACTAGTAATACTAGCAAAGGTAAAGCAATCATAATTCAATAAGCCCTTATTCCCACTGTTGGTGGGAATGTAAATGGAACAGCTTATATGGGAAGCCATTCAAAAATATGCATTAATAATCTTAAAATATTCAGACCCTCAGACTCAGTAATTCACTTCTTAGGACATATTCTAAAAAGAAAATAAATGTATTTACTCATTCAACAAACATTTAATTGAATGCCTACTATGTTCTAGGTACTGAGGATACAGCAATGAACAAAACAGACCTCATCTCTGTTCTTGTGGGTCTTAGAAGAGACAAACATTTAACGAATAATCACAAAATAAATGTATACTTACACATATTACCGGACACAATGAGAGTATTTTTAAATACTTGGTTTAAATTTGTGAGATCAAAAAAGACCTTTTTTTGGAAGCAACATTTATACTGAGAACTGAAGGATGAGTGGAATTTAGCCATATGAAGAATGGGAGAAATTTTTTTTTCTGATAGTGAAAACAATATTCATGAAGGCAAAAAAGAGTTAGTTGTATTCAAGATTTTAGAGTACTCATTCATTAACTTATTTAAAAATATGATGGAAGTCCTAGTAAGTACTATGTACTGGAGATGAGGATCAAGTTGAAATTATAGTAGACAAAACAGGTATAAAAATATGTATTGTATAGCTACAGAAGGGCTGGGTATTCATAATAAAGCCAACGATGTCTGAGGAAATGAGTGAAAAAGGAGAAAACCAATGCATTTAGCAGAAAAAAAGGAGAGGATGGAATAAAGATAACAAACATAAAGGTTTTCTGCCTGTTTCCAAACTCAGACTTACCTGAGAAACGTATGTTCAAAATGTACCATTCTTTTTTTTAAAGTACAATTTATAGATAGAAATACTTAGATGGGTCAGTACTAAAATGATCATACGCAGAGAAGAGGCAAGTAGAGAGAGATTAAATCTAGTAAATTTTAAACGTACACATGAGTTAGGGCATCTCTGTACTTCAGAAATTATTTTCCCTACAGCTATCCACGAGTGACTCTTGACTATGTTAAGCATTCAGGGAAAAGGAACCACTTTTTTGTAATAATAGCAGAGTCTCTTTGTAAGAGATCAAAATGTACATAGAATAATCCAAGGATTTGAAATTAAAAATTGAACAAATGAACCTCCATTAGGTTAAGTGTGAAAAGTGACATTTACACAAACCTTATAATGAGAATATTCTTGGAGTCATCAGCAAGTTGTAAAGGGAGCCACAGAAATAATTACAACCTCATGTGAGCAGCACACCTATGGGATAGAGCCCTTTCCTCCTATTTCCTGAATTATCTAAATGGTGATATTGTATTTTTAGTACATGTCAACAGTATTAAAGAGTTAAACAATATTTGACAGCATGGACACTAGCTACATTAAAAAAAAGATATGTGGAATTCTTACTTTTTGGCAACTTCTATGCAAAACTAAAATTATTAAAAAAATAAAAAAAGCAAAAAATATAGGGATAGTGTTGCTATAAGAAATAATACAAGGCCTAAAATTTGTGTTATTTTCATGAGGCAATCAGAAAGGATAAATGAAACAATCCTTCAAGTTGCCCTGAGTCTGGTTTTCACATCTGCTGTCACGGGATGCAGGTGCACACAAGGGGAAAGCTCATAGTCCGCGTTGGATATCCCACTGCCCACCAGATGTTTGGAAAAGTCATTTCAGTATCTCTAAGCTTCTACTACATGCACCTCACAGGGTAGTGTCATATGCTTGTTGACAATGATGTGCTCCATAAATATTCATTATTATTATTTAAAATTTTATGTAGGCCTGGCTGGCATGGCTCAGTGGTTGAGCATGACCTATGAACCAGGAGGTCACAGTTTGACTCCTGGTCAGGGCACGTGCCTGGGTTGTCAGCTTGATCACCAATGTGGGATGTGCACGAGGCAGCCGATCAATGATTCTCTCTCATCATTGATGTTTCTATCTCTCTCTCCTCTCCCTTTCTCTCTGAAATCAATAAAAATATATTTAAAAATAAATAAATAAAATTTTATATATATAAACTTTATTATTCCTTCATTGAATGGAAGAATATCTCTGAGTTGTGATCAGCTATTAGGATTTCTTCACATTTGTAAAATTATCAAATTAATCTTATACTTTCCAGTAGGGACCCAGATTTGACCAACAGATTTATCTCATAATAAATATAGTTATTACACCCTGGAAAGTGCTTCATAATAAAAATATAGCCTAAAAACTATTTTTAAAATCTCCTTAGCCTTTCCAATACAGTTCATTAATTGAATTGGTTAACCTGTTACCTTAAAATTAGTTTGGTTAATTCTAAAGTCCCTGTCTTTATTTATTAGACCTGTCTAATAAAGTTTGATGGAGACATAAATATGTAGTTTAAACAAATATACTGACATCATACATAAACTATGACCAATAAAATATATTTCCCCCCAAGACATTAAAAATGAAATAGCTCTTTTGAAGAAAAAACACACACAATTAAGTCAGAAATTTCATGAAATCCAAAAGATGAACCTTGAGAACCCAAAACAAATTTTAATGTCTGACAAAACAAATGCATCTTTTATAAAATTGGATTGATGTGTACTTATAAATTATGCATTGCAAGATGTTTCATTATAACTTTAATGTTTCAAAATCCATTATCATCCCTCTGTCTCCCATCAAGTATAATTGTAGGAAGAAAAATATCATGTTCTTTTCTGTACAACCAAAAAAGCTAACGGGAAAACAAGTACAAGAGCAGCTCACTCAAATCAAGCTTTTCCTCATTAAAACCTCAAGGTACCCCATTTTAACATGGTGGCTAATTTTGTTTTCTGGAAAATGTATTTATAGGCCAGGAATGATTCAAGTGGACAGTTATAAAAAAAATCAACAGGAGTCATATGAAAATAATATTCAGTAAGATATCTTTAAAACAGTAAGAAAAGCAGACTTCTTCCCCTCCCCCTTCCAAATTTCCATTGTGTTCATCATTCAGCAACATTCTACTCACTTCCGATGGGTGTGGTCCATGCCACTGTTTGGTATTGATTCCAACTCTGCATTTTTCTGCCCACAGATATTTCCATAGCTGTCGTATCCTGACACTAGTCTCGCTGCTGCACCTGTTGCTACTGAAAAGCCACAAATAAATCCCTAGGGAGAAAAACAGAAAAAAAAAATCATACAAATAAACCATTTCAATAGCAACAGTCACTACTTGATACGATAATGAGCTTCTTTTGTCTGATGAAGGAACAAAGAGCTCTTTCCTTGTTGCAAACACTATTCCACTGTTTTCCTAGGATTTCACATAAGCAGCACAAAGTAGTCCCGGGAAACACTATTTACTAACATAACAAAAGAAATCTCTAAGCTTTTGCATCATAAGATCGTCTTTGCATTTCATACTAATAATAGCAACCTCTCTGTATTGAACACCTGCTCTATGCCAGGCTCTGTACTGGGTGCTCACCATACATTATCGCTAATCCTCGTGATGAGGAAACTGAGGCCCAGAGAGGTTCAATACGTTTTCCAAGGACACAGGACAGAATCAAACCCAGCTTTCTTCTTCTTTCTTTATTTTTTTAGTTTTATTTGGTTGTAACGGAGTCCTATTAAATAAACAATAGCAATGGATGAAAGAAAAAAAACACAAAGAACAATAGGTCTTCGGGTTTTGAATTAGTATCACTTCAGTGCACACAACTTCTATTTGCTTCCTGCAATAAAGCTGTATATAAGCCAAAGAATTACACCACAAGCACTGCCATGCTCTTAATATTGGAGAATCCAGGAGAGTGAGGCCCCGGTCCGGGTGCCACAAAGGCCACTTCATTTTCATGGGAACATGTTTCAGCACAGTGCCAAAGGCAAAGGGCAGATGCCTCACAGCTGCATTAGGCTTGCTAAGTCGAGTGCATGCTGCTGACCAAAACAGAGCAATAACGTCTGCATAGGCTGCTGGGCGTATAGGCAGTAGGGTGAATCACCATTGATTCACTGAATTGGGAGGGAAGACTGGGGTTAAGATATATTCTTGGTCATTACAAGCTTGAGTTTTTGTTATCTTTATGAAAGTGGCTAATGAAGGCAGAGATGGCCACTGTTTACCCATCATAACCAAGTATCATGAGTAGTACCAAGTAGCCCTGCTAGATCTCGGGCCTCCAGTGGTAAGAACTATACACATATGCAGTTCCTCAGAGAATAGTATTCCTCTCTTAAACATGCTTCCCAGAAAAGGTGAACAAGTTTTTCTTTTCTAAATAATCTCTATTTTTATCATTTAAGTAAAGAAAGTGAGGCAGGGAGAGTAGAGAGTATAGCTCTAGCTAGTAGAAACTTCTTGAAACTACACTTTGTAAGAAAGTAGACTCAGTAGCGACTATCCCTGATTTGCTATCCTTGCTCTCGGATCCTTGCCAAGTTACTTTAACTCTCTGTGCCTCAATTTACTGATCTGTAAAATGGAGATAATGGTAGCTCATAAGGCTGCTGTAAGGATTAAATGAAATAATCCAGTAAAGTGATAAGGTTTCAATAAATATTAAGAGGTCAATAAATAAGAGATGAATAAATACTAGCTATTATTGTTAGAAATGAGAACATGCTGTAATGGAAAGACCATGGGCTTTGGGTCAGATAACCCTGCACTGGTCAATTTTCTCCTTGTGTGAACTTGGACAAAATTCAAGAAGTTAATGGCTAAACTCCCCAATAGGGATCTTTAACAAAAAGCATCCCAGAGTAATAGGAAGAGAACCAAAAAGACCTGATTCACACCCTCAGTCAGCCACTAACTACCTGCGTGACTTTGATCCAATTACCTACTAAGAGTGTCTCCTCTTCATCCCTAACACAGAGTACTGAGGCTTCTTACCCAAGGTTTCAGTTACCCATAGTCAACCATGGTCTGAAAATATTAAATGGAAAATTCCAGAAATAAAACTATTCGTACGTTTTAAATTGCATGCTGTTCTGAGTAGCGTGATGAAATCTCACTCCATACTCCATCCCCCCTGGGACGTGAATCATCCTTTTGTCCAGGGTATCCAGGCTGTATGGGCTACCTCCCCGTTAGTCACTCAGTAGCTCTCTTGGTTATCAGATCAATTGCCACAGTATCACAGTGCTTGTGCTCAAATCACCCTTATTTTGCTTAAGAGTGGCTCCAAAGTATAAGAGTAGCGATGCTGGCAATTCGGATATGCCAGAGAGAAGCCATAAAGTATTTCCTGTAAGTGAAACTGTATGCATATATAGGGAAAAAACATAGTATAGTTGGGTTCGGTTTTGGTATCCACTGGGTCCTGGTAGGTATCCCCTGTGAATAAGTGGGAGGCTATTTGTTGTTGTTGTTGTTTTGTTAATTCTCACCTGAGGATATTTTTCCCACTGGTTTTAGAGAGTAGAAGGAAGGGGGAAGGGAGAGAAAAAGAGAGAGAACATCGATGTGAGAGAGACACATTGATGGGTTGCCTCCCGCACACACCCCAACCATGGCTGGGGAATCAAACCTGCAACCCAGATATGTGCCCTTGACCAGAAATCAAACCCTGGACTCTTTGGTGCTCAGGCTGACGCTCCAACCACTGAGCAACACTACCCAGGGCTGGGGAGGGGGGACTATTGTAATACCTATTTCACAGCCTAATGATGAGAACTAAAAGTGATAATACATATCTAGGCCCTAACTGGTCTGATACATGGCAGGTAATCAATATACGGTAGCTGTTACGGGTAAATTTGTGTTAAGTCAGACTAAAGAGGTTGACTATTCAAAAACCCCTTCAGTTCTCTATTTTGGAACAAAAATTTCTTGGGGGATAAAATTGAGAACTATTGTCAGTAATTGTGTTACTACACGGAAATATTCAGACCACAGTTACAATCTTCTTTCAATACTAGTCTAAAATAGCAAAGTCCTTACATAATTAAGGTTATATTCTTCTTTCACTTTTCATAGGAATTTTCTTCTTGTGCTTGATAAGTACCTAGTGTTACAGAATCCTTTAAATGATTTCTGATTTTCCGTTCTATTTTTAATAGTACCATTGGACACCTGGGTTTTGTGGGTTTGTATTTGTTTTTTAATCAGAGTATAAGTGACAAATGTCACAGATATATGGTAAAATGGGGCACTAACATATTTTCATATCGGCCATGTAGCTCCCAAAAGCATTTGAGTAGAAAGGGTAAGAAGCTTCAGGGGAGGAAGGAAAGAGAGGAATGAGAGAATAAGCTAGAAAGAAACCACAACTGCTATCCCAGGGACTTCCCATATGGTACAAGCATTGATAATGGGGAACGAGGCCAAATATAATTTAAAAAACAATCTCTTTTAAAAAGAGATCCTGAAATCCACACACGGGAAACAATATAGTTTCAGATGAGAAAAATAATATAGTACATGAAATTAAAACAGTGTGAGAAGCTTTACAGAACACAGTAATTTAATGCCTCCACAGAGGGTGGGGGTGGGGTGGGAGCAAGCACTCAACAGAAGGAAATCACATTCATAAAGCAAATGATACGAGAGATGAGGAAAGCTTTTATCCTACTACAATCGGGAGCAATCACGGAGAGAAAGTAAGCCTATTAGTAAGGAAGAGAAAACCTTGGCTAACATCTAAAAGTGACTGAGTTACTGAAGTGCTTTCAGAACCGCTCTTAAGAGAGAGAAGAGGAGCAGACACATCTAATGACAAACAAGAAGTGACTCAAATCAGATGAAGGCATACAGAGAGGATGGGTCTCAGGCAAGATCTGGAGACTAAGTGCCTATTGCTAAGTAGGAGAAAGACAATTTGCTAGATCATAAACGGTGCTCATTCTCCCTTCATGTCTCAAGGTTTAGTTCGACGTAAGAGCTTCTGCTTAGTTTCATTCATTATTAGTCAAAATAACAGGCATATTTTATTTCACAAGCATGCAACCTTTAAGTGCAATGGAAAGGTAGAAAGCCTTAGTTTAGTTTTGAAACAGAAAGATCAACAAAAACATGAGGGGGTAGAGGGAGTATGAAGTATGAATATGGCAAAATGTTTCAAAATAAAGGGAGAGGAAAAAAGGCTTATGCTTACAGCCCTTTCCCAGAAATTAATTAAATTATATCCAGGTTCTTCCCTCCACCTCTCCCTACCGCCCATTCAAATACTACCTCCTTTAGCTCTATACATCTCTTATCTCAACCAATGTTTAGCATCAGTCTCCTGACAGCCAGTTTGTCAAACCTTGGAACAATATGTGGCCTGTTGCTCCCGAGAACACTGAGACAAGAAAGACTTTTAGACCCAGCAGACAGGGTAGGATTAGAATGCCCGATGCAGAACTATTGTTCAAGCAAACAAACTAAAAAAAGTTGAGTTAAAATTTCTGACAATCTGCTAGATTTCTTTAAAGTTAAGTAGGATGCATTACTCTAAGAGGAGAGTGGAAGACAATAATGATGGGAAGTTAGGAAATATCCACTCAATAAATATTTATTAAGTACACACATACAAATGAAAGATTTCATGCAAGGTACAAAAGGGCTTTAATATAATAAAGTTTACCCGAGAAAAACTGAAATGTCTCAAAAGAGAAGAAAATAATGGGATTTGAGGGAGCAAAATCAGGGAAGCTGGTTCTTGAGCAGCTTAAGCAAAAAAACAAAAAACACAAAACACAAAACAAGCAAAACAGCACAAGGACTATCAGGAACTAAACCCAGCTCTGCTGCAAATACTCATGATCTAGGGCAAGTCACTTACAATTCTCTAAGCCTCAGTTTCCTCACCTATAACAATGATTGGACTACATTAATCTCAAAAGCCGTTTATGCTGTCACAATTTTATGATTCTAAGGGAAAATAGGTACAAAGTAAATGCTTTTCAGGGTATCCTTGCAGAGAGAAGTAAGTATAAATCCATTTGGTTCACAACAGTGACTGAGGTGGTAAAAAAAAGAGTAGACTAAAATCAAAATGAATTTAACTAACCTGTATGCTTAAAAATAGTTAAAATGGATTTAACGAAACTGTATACTTTAAAATATACATTATATAAGCCTTGTTATGCATATTTTACCATAATTTGTAAAATATGTTTTAAAGAAAACAAAGATAAACCAGAGGATTTAAGAGAAGGTAGGTAGTCATCTGGATCAGGTAGTCTTAAGGTAGTTTTCGGCTGTTCTTCCTATTCCATGATCCTGGCAAAGCACAGACCATCACACAGGTGACAAAACACTGCAGCGAGTCTGCTCTCAACAACAGTCAATGAGGTAGAAACCCTGAGCTCCGGGAACTAGACCCAGGCTATAAAATGAAAAGGGTCCTCAAGAGCAGTCTGGAGGGACAAACTCTGCAATGATGTCGCCTGCATTAGCTGTAGTCCAGATCACTGCCCCAAATTCCAACTCTGCGTTTCCAATTGCTTATCCTTCCCCATACATTTTATGTGTCAAAGTCATCCTCTCATTTCACCAAACCACTTCCCTTTCCTGCACACACCCTCTCTCCTTTTGGAGCATCCCTATTTACTAGATTGCACACGTCAGACAGGAGTGAGAGGCTGTTTCAGTTCTCTCTCCACAGCTTCTGGCAGCACCCCAGCTTCCTGACTCTACACTAGAGGAAGCGGTGTTGCTCAACTATTTGCTTGGTGTCTGAAATATTGATTGGACCACATTTTACTGGCAGGTGACGTGTGTCCTACAGGTCCATGTTCTGAACAACTTTTTATTTTGCTCCCCGTTCCAGGCAACAAAAGGGATTGTCTCTCTCCTACTTCCTCTCTCTCCTGTGTTCAGTGTTGCCCCTGTGTGATCTCGACAAGCTATTTAACACAGCTGGGTGCCTCTGTTTCCTTATCTGTAAAATGGGAATGATGATGATAATGTCTACTCCATTGAGCAGTTTTGAAAATTAAGTATGTTTCTGTGTCAAGAACTGCAGGCCTCGAGTTTGACATACTTGCTTTACACTAGGGATTGAACCTGCAATCTAAGTATGTGCCCTGACCGGGAATCAAACCTGAAACCTTTTGTGTACGGGACAATGCTCCAACCGAGCCACTGGCCAGCGCTCTTTCCTGCCTTTTATGTTAAGTTGATCTGGGCTGACTTGGTCCAGATGGACCTCTTTTCTCTCCTCTTCTCTTCTCACATATTCTCCCTGAGACAGAAGTAAGTCAGACCATCCAAGATGGGAAGGCCCCTTAGCCCAAGATTTATTCCACAAGTCATTTTAAAATGGAGTATTTACTGGATATAATAATCAGGTGTCTGCTGAGCTACTAATAAAGTACTACTTTGTTTACCCACCCCATTCTTGCTACCTCATGTGTACAGAAGCCATAGTTTAGAACCGATGAGGAGATAATGTAGGACGAACTAAAAAGCCCTACCCTGAACTTCTAACATAAGAGCCTCTTAGTCATCTTTAATCTCTCTCTCCTTGCCTGCAATATTGACGACTCCAAAATCTACTTTTAAAGTCTCTCTCTTCTCTTCTTATTTCAGGTTTTTCACCTCTTATCTGGACTACTGCATCCACAGTAGTCAGCCTGAATCTCTTCTTCCTTTACAATGGCTGTACAAGCATCTTTAACACATTGACCACCAGCACTATCTTTCTAAACCCAATCTTATCATTTCTTGCTCAGAATTCTTCAGTGGCTTATCAGTGCCTACATCAGTGGGTCTCAACCCCGGCTGAGCATTAGAATCACAGAGATTAAATCACTAAGGTGGGGCCTCGGAATGAGTACTTTTTAAAAGATCCCAGCTGATTCTCATGTGCAACTAAGGTTGAGCACCATTTTTAATTACTTTAATGAAAAAAATAAACATTTAGAAGTACAATGTGACATGTAATTTTTTTTTAGAGCAGGGTAAGCCCGCAACCTACGTCCAATAATTTCAAAATACTGATGAAAGTTCACGTGGAAGGGGACAGCTCTCAAGAAGGCTGATAGAAATTTACTTTGAAAAAT